AGACCCGGGTTCGGTTCCCCCTAAGGGTGCATACCTCAGTTGCAGTTTGTCCCCGGCCCTGGTTGGTCGTGCAAGTGGCAGCCACTCGATGTGTCCCTCTCACGTTGATGTTTTTTTCTCTCTCTCTTCCTCTCACTCCCACTCTATCTGAACAAAAAATGAAAAAATGTCCTCGGGTGAGGATAAAAAAATATATTAAAGTCCACCAAATGGTTGTTCAGAGATAAAACATTTGTTTTATTGATATTTTTAAGTTTATTTATTTATTTATTTTTTCCATTTTTTTGTACAGATAGAGTGGGAGGGAGAGAGAGGAAGGGAGAGAGAGTGAGAAACATCGATGTGAAAGGGACACATCGAGTGGCTGCCACCCGCACGACCAACCAGGGCCGGGGACAAACTGCAACCGAAGTACGTGCCCTTAGCGGGAACCGAACCCGGGTCTCTCCGGACTGCAGGCCGACGCTCTAACCGCTGAGCCAAACTGGCCAGGGCTGTTTTATTGATATTTTTATTCTTGGGTAAAATGGAAGCTGGATTGATCATATATATGCCAATCCTTGGCCTGTTTGCCTTGACAGCCACTCCTCACCTACTGCCTTCTTAGCTGTGTATCTCGGGAGACAATGCATGCAGGCTCTCACAAAGCTCTGTGTCAGAGGCAAATGGCTGGAGAGCCCAGGTAAGGGGATTCTCTGCCCTTCTCTCATCTGGGGCAGCCCCCTAGTAGCCCTTGCAACCCCTCTGTGGCTCCAACTCCCATCAGCCTGGGTCAGTTGATGAGATAGCAGCCTTTGCTGATCACCTCATTCTCCCTTGTTTGTGTCCTCTGCTCTTCTATCACCTGTGTAGCCATTTTCCAGAATTAAGATGCCGCTGGTTTAAATACACAGGTGATTTCAATTTTTCTGATTGTACCCTGATCAATCATATATGGGTTTTCCTCTTCCACCCCGATATCAATTTCTGATGTTCAAATATGTGAATTAACAACTACATCCCACTGCTTTATGGGTACAACAGGAGACAGAGGCTGGGTTAAAAGAATTTCATAGATTTTTCAGAATTTGTATGGTGGTTAAAACCTTTGGTCCTAGCTTGAGACAAACTTGGTGTTGTCACTTGCCAGTTATGTGGTCGTTGCCAAATTCTCTAAGTCTTCTAAACCTCAGTTTTCTCATCTGTGATATGGAGATGATAATTTTTCTACTTCATATGATTATGATGATTGAATAGAATATTGTGTTCAAAGTATTCAGGACAGTATGTACACACAGTAAATGTTCTGTGAAGAAAGCAAGTCATTTATTTGTAGTATTGGTGTGTGCTAGTTGGGCTGAAAGAGGATGTAGTAAAATATCCTGTTACTACACATGAAGATTTGTCATGGCATTCACCTTGCTTTTAGCCCTGTTTTCTATCATTGAACCTATAATTATTCTGGAGTAAGACACAGCAAGTTAATAATGGAGCTGGTTGTTATAAATATTGATAGATTGATCCTCCTGCTATTAGGCCAGAAGTGGAAGATTAGATAAAGAGAGCTTGCATTGGAGACTCACCTTAAGGACTCCTGTCCAGTCTGATTCTGTTCACTCTCCTACCTTTATGTCCTCTCCTGTCCTCTTTCTTTTCCGAAAGGTCAGGATAATTCCCAGCACCTTCATAAAACTTTCTCTGATTGTTTCAAATTGTGTTTGCAGTGGTATACATCTACTCTCCCAGTCCCTGAGCAGAATTTCACAAAGAGGACCTCCTCCAGGCTCTTTTCCCAAAGAACACCCTGCCACTCAGCACTGTGGGGCTGCTGGGCTCTGCCTTTCTTTGGCTTAAGACCGGTTTCATTAACAAGCATGTTCACACTTCAACCGGAACATTTAAAATAACACCCGCACAATGTGTTTAGTGTCTAGTTAATTATTAAGTCTCTGAGCTTGAATTATTCAAGCAAAATTGATTGGGTTCAACCTTCTTCCTTCTCTTTGTGTGTGTGTGTTTTTTTAAAAATAAAAATAAGCTCTCCCCTGTACTCTCTAAACAATGTGGTAAAGGTTATTATGCAAATGTAAATACTCTGGACTGTGGGTGGTACCCAAGTGCTAATAAAATAGGTCTAGAAAGGACTGGCAGCTTGATTCTTTTATTAAGAAATATATCGTTATCTCATATACTGTACTTCCATTTATGGAGACATAACATGTTTTAGGTTTTCTCTTTTAAACTCCTTTTTAGAGTATTTACAAGTTGGTTAAGTAGGTAGCTTATAGGCAGTTCTGTGGTGTAAAAGCAGAAGAAATTGCTTCTTTCTTTGCTACCCTAACTCATGGTCAAATGAAACTGCCTTGGCTTCACTATTAAAAACTATATTATTGAAAAATATTTGTTGACTTGAGATGTTCATAATATATTGGCTAAGTGAAAACAGGAGTGTATAAAACTGTTTTTCATTATGTTAAAATGCATAAAAAAGACTTGCATAATGAATACCAAAATATTAATGATTATCTGTGTTAGGATTTTTGCCTTTTTTCCCCTTTTGCATCAGTTATATGTCAGGAGCATATTGCAAATAATGCCATCCTTATTTAAGCCGGCAATTGTCAACATGTCTAGTGTAGATTTTGCAAAAAATTCACAATATTTTTCGAATCACAGCAACTTGAGTAATTTGTTAGCCTTCATTTCTAGACCTTCATAGTTAGTTCTTCCTCAGCTTCCATATTATTAAGATGTGAAAAGATGCAATTGTGGCATTAACATAGAAAACATAACTGCCCCATGGGTGTTGGAAAGAACTAGAAAATAAATGTATTTTGGGGAAAGATTATAAAGGAGATGACAATTTTGAGAGGAAAAGACAGAAATACAGTGACCTAGTTTAGTAGTACATTTAAATATGGGACCTTCCACGAGAAATTTATAAGCGAGCTCTTCCAAGACCAAGACTGGAAAAACCTGGAAGGCCTTAAATGCATCAGGGGTGGTAGCTATTGATGACTTGCCTTTGCTGCCCAGTTTCTGCACTGTGCCATTGGGTTACGTGTGCGTATGCGCGCGCAAACAGGGGATGCAGGTTTGCTCCTAGAGGTGAACTGTCTTACGCCCATCAGCTGAATCGCCTGCAGGTGGTAACCCTGGACGGGGATAAACAGGCAGCAGCTAGAATAGTTCCGGAGAAGAAAACACTGGGCTCCAAGTAGGGAAACTTTTGGGAATAGAGATGGGGAATTCTATCCTTTGCGTTCACACACTCATGGCTTGGATGGTAGCGCATACAAGTCTGTCATTGTATTTGTCCTGGGAAATGACACAAGAAGCGGTGTAATTAGACACCCAGGAAATTATTACTCTGGAGTGCCTGAGAACTGAATGGGGGGGGGGGGGGGGTAGCGAGCAGCGAGCAGGTAAGGGGCGGTGAGAGGCACCCTCTTTTACAGATCTGTCGGGAGCCAAAGCCGTCGGCTTCTGGGCCCCCTTAACAAACGTGCCGCGGGCAGGTGGTGTCTCCGAGGACCAGGAAGAAGCCCCGCTTTGCGATCCACACGAGAAGCCTCGGGAATCGGGGAGAGAAGCGAGACGGTGGCGCAATTCCCAGTCCGCGCCCGGTTCTCCGCCGCCGCGGCCTCCCAGTCCTCCGGTATCCCTGCATTCCACGTTGCGGCAGCGGCCGCCGCAGCCTCGCCGGCCGAGGCGATCCCCACCCTCCCTTCAGGGTGGTGCGGCCGCCCGCGCCCCTTCCAGGGCCTCGGCTCCGCTCCGCGCGGCCGCAGACGGACCCGGCTCGGCCGGCAGGCTCGGGCGGGGGCGGGGGCGGGGCGGGGCGGGGCGGGGAGAGGGCGTGCGCGCGCGGGCGGGGGGCGCGGGCCGCCATATTGGATCCGGACTCTGCTCGAGCCTCCGCCTGCGTGCGGCGGGGTCGGGGGAGCCTCGCGGAGCCCAGGGCGCGGGCGCGAGAGACCGGGAAGGCGGGGGAGGGGTGGGAGGGAAAGGAAGGGAGTGGCTGCGAGCCGGGCTGCGGCAGCCTCTGCTCTCCTCGCCCGCGGCAGCAGTCCCTCCTCCGGCGCCTCGGCCGCCTCCCGCCTCACCGCGGAAAGATGCCCTTAACCCAGGGGTGTGAACAAGGGGGAGAAGTAGCTGCAGGAGCCGCCCGCACCGCCGCCGCTGCTGCTGCCGTCCGTGTCCTTTGAATCCCGAAAAGCACCCCCTCTCCAGGGCGTCAGGAGCCTCGGCGGCGGCCGCGGTGCGGGTGTGGGGAGACCGGGCGCTCTGCCCGGAGCGGCCCAGGCCGGCCGACCAGCGACCACCGACATGGAGCGGGCTCGGGCGGCCAAGTAGCCGCTGCTCCCGGAGCTCGGCGCCCAGTGCCGCCCGCAGCCCGCGTCTGCAGCCCCGGCCGCGCCGCCAGCCAGGCCCCTGGGAGAAACCGAGAGAAAAATGAAGAGTTTTCCTCCGAATCCGTTGTAAATGGGACTAACTGCAGAGCCTTAAAAAGCAGGAGCTCGGGAGGAGAAAGGAAAAGCCTCCTCCGGGCAAGACTTGGCGTGCTCCGGGCCGAGGGGCTGCTTCAGGGACTCGCCCCCTCCCTTCCCGCTGGAGAAATTGCCGCTGATGCATCATCCAAGCGGTGGTTGGGAGGATTTGCAGCCGAATTTTTGGTTTTTCCTCCCCCTTACATACATTCTGGTTTTTTCCTCCCTTTTCTGTTTTTCCTTCTTCCTGGGAAGTGAATTGCTGATGAAAATCGGACTTAATTCATTAATGATGTAACCGGATTCGTTTCAGGATTATGTTGCACGAGTTGAATTTTGAATGAAGGAGAAGAGTGTTTCGTTTTTTTTCTTTAAAGAAGTGTTGACTCTTTGGTTCGTTGTACTTTTAATTATTTTATTTAAATATACGACCTAATTGTATTCTTTAAAAATGTATCAAATATATATTTTATGGTAACTATCTCTCAAAATATATGTATATGTGCGAAATTGAAGACGCTTCAGTTAAGTGAGGGTACCGGTGTGTTGGATGTTTAATTCAGCACCGGCCTTGCATGACAGTTGTTTGAATAACAAGTGGTTTGTTTTTAAAACCACAACTTTTAAAATTTAGGTTCAAAGAATCATAGTAGAAATCGTTAATAATAATTTAAAGGAAAACCAGCAGAAATTGAAGCCAACATGTCTGGAGAAGTGCGTTTGAGGCAGTTGGAGCAGTTTATTTTGGATGGGCCGGCTCAGACCAATGGGCAGTGCTTCAGTGTGGAGACGTTACTGGATATACTCATCTGCCTTTATGATGAATGCAATAATTCTCCGCTGAGAAGAGAGAAAAACATTCTTGAATACCTAGAATGGGGTAAGTTTGTATTAAAAAAAACCCAAAAAACTCTCTTTAGCTTGGCATTCTGATTTGATTTTTATAGTTACCATGAGTAAACAGTATATAAACACATGTAATATATGGTATATAATATGTAATATAGTATATATAATATATATCACCATGATATATAGTACACTGCATATATATTTAACTATGTATACAATAAAAGAATAGACACCAGTTACTCAATACTTTTCTCTAGTTTTTGGTGAATATTTTCCCAAGAGTACAACCAGGCTGCTCAGTTGTTGCCACAATTTAATGTGGAATTTACGAGAAAGAACTTAGGTTTTTAGGTCAGCAGTAAGAGCTCTTGAGTAATTCTGTGATGGGCAAAAATGTGTGATTACCAGTGGTATAACATACATTCAATGGAACGGTATTTATTAGTGGAAACATTTTCTTCCCAGACTTTGGAAATCATTCTGGAAATGGGAGGAGGTATTAAAATATCTTACATCAGTTGGAACTTGAAAGTAGTTTCGAGTGGGGTTTATTTCATCTCCATTTAGTACAAGCAAAGGAACAACTAAACATGGAATTTCCAGAAATTGTCATGTTTGTAAGGTAATTTGACATGAGTGTTTAAAAATATTGTGATTGTTGGGAGAGAATGTTTGGGAGCATTCTTGTTTGCTTTACTCAACATTTAAATCAGATCTAAAATGGTTAGAGTTTTGTCTTCATTCTCCTAAATATAGATGTAATTTAGAAGACCAGTTTTAGTGCAATAGATCAGTGATGAGAGCAGACCCTCCCATGTGACCTTCAAACCGTATTCAATGTTACATACAAATCCATTTAAACATCCAGCTGTTCTTTATTGGAAGAATACACATCACCCACACCTGTCTTGGTACATTGCCTTTTGAAGGACATTAGCCAAAGTAGTACTGTATTTTGTACCTTTGTAATATTAATAATTTTAGTTTATTCGTAAGTTTTGATACTAAAATGTCTTTGTTTCCAAGTACAGTAAGCTTTATATTCCTGAAGTCAAAGTCAATTGGTGATTATTTTGTTTTGCAATTAGAAATTTATTAAAAATTTATCTGGTGCATCACTCATTTAAGATTGAATATAAAATGTGAATAGGATGGTTTTTAAAAACAATACCAGACTTTTACTGGGAATGCAAAAATTCTAAACCATCTTTCAAGTGACTTCTCTCTTAAGAGTGATACAGTTTTGACTTTGGTACTGGTTTTGTATGTCTCTTATTTTTATATGTAGAGTAAAATACTTTATAATGCTTACATAGTTTTACATCCCATGTTTTATAAATTTAGAAATATTTTAGTGGTTTTTGGGGGGGATTTAAAGAAAAGTTTTTGGTACTTTTAGAGTTAAGAGTTTCAGTTTTGAATTATGGTTCAAGAAATCACTTGACTCTGTGATTATGAATGTCATTTAATATCTATTCTTTCTCATCTGCAAAGTGATGGAAGAACTCTTTATGTACCAGTAGTAAATATTATTTTAACGTTATGACAGAAAACAATATGCTCAATTGCCCTTTGGTATTAAGTGTTTACATAGTAGTTCTATGCTCTGAGATATTTTGCTGTATAGTATTATCAGAATTACTTATGTATATTTTCCTAAATTGTTTCCTTGAGCTTGGTTTCTTATATATGTGTTTAAAAAACTGTTGTTATACATATTTAATTTAAGCCAAACAAGCCAAAAGTCACATAAGTATTTGGCCAAACACACTTTATTTTTATTAATATATTTTAAATAATTTCAAACCAGGGACTTTTAACAATTTAAAACAAATTAAGTTTTAGTAGTATGTTTCATGTTTTGTCTTTTTAGAAGTTTGATACGACATAACAAAAATGTATAGTCTTTTAAGTAAACTTCTGTGTTTCTCAGTGGTAGAGAACAAGAGACTAACACTTTTGGGGCTAGGCAGTGTCTGCTAAATCTCAGGCCTTTTTAAGTTGGGCGTATGAGGTCTTAAAAGTGTGAGTTATCAACCACAGAAGTTTAGGTAAGGAGCAAGAAAAGAAATTTAAGGATGGAGAAGCTGTTAAGAGATGTGTCATAAGTAGTAGTATTTACTGTCTTTAAGTATTTGAGAGTTAGGTTATTTAAGAATGCCAGTCTCCTCAATTCATTTAGTATTGAAATAGGTCAGCTGTTCTTCATGTTTGAATTGATTACTGCATTTTGGGGAAATGTCCTATTTTTTTTTTTTTTCTCATCGCCTAACATTATATAAAACAATTAGATTTCCTTAGTTTCCAGATAGTGACTGAACCTTAATTTAATTTTTAAAACATCATCATCATCATTATTATTATTTTTGCGTCTGTAATGGAAGTTTACAGGGATTGTTGGTGTTAAATTTGATAATTTAAATTTGCCTTAAAGTGATACAATTTTTAGTTTGAGTTTTAAAAGATCTAATATTTGCATAGTTAAATACTTTGTAATATATGCTGTATATTTGTGTTTGGCTCTTTATATTAATGAAAGTGTCATCTAGATATTTCTTACGTTTATGCTGCTGATAAGCTACTTTTAAAAAAGGAGTCAGCCAAGATTCTGTCTGCTTTGCTTTATTTCCATCATTTTCACTTTCTAATTATGGTCCATTTTACTTTTATATTGGTACAGTTAATGTCTTGTTCATTACAGTATTATGACAGTAAGAAAACTGACTATTCAAAGTGAGATGTGTGTGTGTGTGTGTGTGTATTTACTTATTTATTTATTTATATTTGACAGCACTCCTTGCTCTTAGTGCTGATGGCTTGAGGGAGAAAATAAGTAGAGCTCCAGAGAGGAAGAAGGAGTTAAGCCAATAAGCAGTAGAGCAAGGGGATCAGACTTCCTTAAGGCCATAGGTCACTTTTAAATTTAATATTATATATTTTCCAGTTATATTCAATAAAACTTGAAAGACTATGTTTTGTCTCCTTTCTTTCTCAAGTTGTTGAAATGATCGTGGTTTGTGTGTTCATAAAATTAGTTTAGGTGTCAGTAGTATAACTCTAGAATAAGTTACAATAGAGTTGTAGAAGTAAAACTAACTTAAATTATAAACCAATTTGCTAGTAATAACTAAGTTCATTCATTGAATTGGCTACCTTCTGTGAAATGGGAAATTGAAATTTTAGGTAATTCTTTACCAATTTACTTAAAAAATAGATGTAAGATAGATTTACTCAATGCAGAAGAAACTCCTAGCTTTTTGTATGTGGATAACTGTTTGTTTGTTTTTTTTCTTCTACTTCTTTATGAATTTTTATTTATTTTTTTGTTACAGATATTTTACCTTTTTACCCCATTGGCACCCCCCACCCCACCCCACCTCCGCCCTTTCCCTGGCTTAGTTGTCCATGTCCATTGGTCATGCATTAAGTTCTGTGGTTTATCTCTTCCCACCCCCCCACCCCCCCCCATCCCCTCTTCTGAGGGATGTCAGTCTGTGCCCTACTTCCATGTGTCTGGGTCTACTGTATTCCTCAGACTGTTATGTTCATTATATTCCGTATATAAGTGAGATCATGTGGTATTTGTCTTTTTCTGCTTGGCTTCTTTCACTTAGGATAATACTTTCCAGGTCCCTCCATGTCGTCTCAAAGGATAAGAGATCTTTCTTTCTTACCGCTGCATAGTACTCCATTGTGTATATGTACCACAGCTTTTTTATCCATTCGTCTACTGGTGGACACTTGGGCTGTTTCCAGATCTTAGCTATTGTAAATAGTGCTGCTACGAACATGGGGGTACATATATTCTTCCTGATTGGTGTTTCAGGCTTCTTAGGGTATATTCCCAGCAGTGGGATCATTGGGTCAAATGGAAGTTCAATTTTTAATTTTTTGAGGTAGCACCATATTGTTTTCCATAGCAGCTGCACCAGTCTGCATTCCCACCAGCAGTGTATTAGAGTCCCCTTTTCTCCACACCCTTGCCAACACTTGTTGTTTGATGATTTGTTGATGGTGGCCATTCTGACAGGTGTGAGGTGATACCTCATTGTTTTAATTTGCATCTCTCTGATGATTAGTGATGTTGAGCATTTCTTCATATGTCTTTTGGCCATTTGTATGTCCTGTTTGGAGAGGTGTCTATTCAGCTCCTCTGCCCATTTTTTAATTGGGTTCTTTGTCTTCCTTTTGTGGAGTTGTATGAGCACTCTATATATATTGGAAATTAACCCCTTATCTGATACATCATTGGCAATGATGTTCTCCCATACAGTGGGTTGCCTTTCCATTTTGATGATTGTTTCTTTTGCTGTGCAGAAGCTTTTGAGTTTGATGTAGTCCCATGTGTTCATTTTCTCCTTTATTTCTCTTGCCTTAGGTGATGTATCATTGAAAATTCTGCTCCGTATGATGTCCGAAATTTTGTTGCCTACATTTTCTTCTAGAATTTTTATGGATTCACGGGTCACATTTAAGTCTTTTATCCATTTCAAGTTTATTTTTGTGTATGGTGTAAGTTGATGGTCTAGCTTCATTTTTTTGCATGTAGCTGTCCAATTTTCCCAACACCATTTATTAAAGAGGCTGTTTTTACTCCACTGTATGCTCTTGCCACCTTTGTCAAATATTAATTGAGCGTATTGCCTTGGGTCCATTTCTGGGTGGATAACTGGTTTTTGATGCTTCCTAAATCTTGAACTTTGTAACATTTCACTTAAATTAACCTTAAATAACTAATTTTATAGTTTATTCATTGTATACACAAATACACATGCTAGTCTGAATGATTGACAAACTTGTTACTAGAGTACATAAGCAAATCCTGTGGTTTAAACTTTTCCTTTCATTAGCATAGTTTTAAAGATTATTCACATTTTTTTTCATGTATGGGTCAGTTGTGTGAGGTGATGATGGCTTGATTAGAAGGATCTGAATATGGGATACCACTGTTCTTCACTTCTGCTGTTCCTCATTATTGGCTTTTCCTGAGTGGCATTTATTAATCATACCAAATTGTCAACATGTTCA